ACCCTCTAACACACCCACACCCTTCACCTGGCTCCACACTGTTATGTGCCCTCCAACATCTGCACCCCCCACCCAACCCCACACTGTTACTTCCCACTGCACTCCTCACCTGCCTGGCCCACCTGACCTGCCTAACCCACCTCGCCCACCTTGCTTGTCTGGCTCACCTGGCACACCTAGATCACCTGGCCCACTTGCCCCACCTGACCCTACATTGTTCTACTTGGCACAAAGTTGGCTTGTTGTTAACCAGAATAGAGGATGGTCTCACAAGACTCGGAAAGGCAGGAACGCCACTCCCATGACTGTGGCATGTCTTTCCCAGATTTGTGTGCACCTTCGTGTTCCATGAAAACCCTGGATTCAGTCTGTCAAAGCGGGGGCCTCTGCCTGGCAGGGTGGGCGTGGACAGCTCAGAGTCATTTGCAGCCAGGCCTGCAGGAGCCCTCAGGTGTCCTGAAGGACGAGGGTGACACTGTCAGAGTCACACCAAGGGTTCCAGTTGCCACCGTTTGGGCTAGCAGCCCAGCACGTGACCACTGTGCCACTGCTCCTGTCCAATCAGTTCAGCTCCTGCTGCCCCACAGGGCGGAGCAGGGCAGCTCCGGGGCTTCCCAAGGCTGTAAATCTTTCGGGTCAGCCTGCCTCCTCTTCCTCCCTCGGAGCAGCACGTGGGTCTGAACTGGCAATCTTTCACTTCACAGCTGAGTGCTTAGCCAGCGCGCCACTAGGGCCTCTGAGCAGCAGCTCGCCGTGTTGTTGTTGAACGCTGTCCTGCAGCGTCACACACAGACGACAGCGGCTCCATAGCCTCCTCGTTACGAGGACACATCATCGTGTCTTGTTTGGGGGAGTCATAGGGTGAGTTCATACCAACCTCCTTGAGCCTGGTCGCTCAGTCTTAACCATCGAGCCCCAGAGCTGAGCTGTTCTTGGGGCTGGTGATGTAGACAGAACGGATTGACTCGACTCCTCCCCAGATGCTGGGAAAAGGCTAGAGGAGTCAGCACTTAGAGCCTGGACAGAGGGGACCCTGTGTGTCCAACGAGGGGGGTTTGGCCTTGCTGCCGATGCCACCTCCATGGAAAGTACTAGAGCCGTTCAGCCGATCTCCCCAACTCTGACACATTCTAAACCAGATAAATGTATGAATAACTAAAGTATGGCAGCCTTCAACACTGGTTGAAGCTCAACATCAAGAAAACAAAGATTCTCACCACTGGACCAATTGGCAGCATCACTATTGATGGTGAAGAGATTGAGACTGTTCACAGTTTTAGTTTACTTGGCTCCATAGTCCACACTCTTGGTACCAGCAGCCAGGAAATCAAGAGACAAATTGCACTGTGAAAGTCAGCTGTCAGGGACCTCTCAAGAGTACTGAAGAGCAACGACATCAGGCTGGAGACTAAGGTGCACCCGATCCAGGCCATAGTCTTTGTAATTGCGTGCTATACATTGGCGGGCTGAACAGTGACTAGAGATGATAGAAAGAGAATTGATGCTTTTGAGTTGTGGTGCTGGAGAAGAGTGTTGGATATACCATGGACTGCTAGGAGAACAAATAGGTTCGTCCTGGAGAGGGGGAAGCCAGGCTGCTCCTTGGAGCCAAAGATTCTTAAGCTTTGTCTGACATACTTTAGACATGTTGCAAGGCAGAATCAGTCCTTGGAGAGGGACATCAGGCTTGGGAGGGTGGAGGGACAACACAGGAGATGAAGACCCTTGATGAGATGATCGATTCTGTAATTGGAGTGGTGGGAATGAGTGTGTCGGAGATGGCGAGGCTGGCACAGGATAGAGCAGGGTTTAGGGCTCTTGTACATAGGGTCGCTATGAGTCACTAGCAACTCGACGGCGCATAACAACAGCAACATTGGTTCTAGCTGTGGTTTGAGTCCACCAGCTGATCCATGGGAGAAAGATGGGCAATCTCCTCCCCTGGGAGGTCCGCTGTGAGAGCTACGACTTGGCAAGTGACAACGTTGGCTCTCACTGGCACTTTCCACGTCAGTCAGCTTTGTGGTCTAGAAGCTCTTCCATGCAGTGGACATGGTGTTGTTGTTGTTGGGTACCTCTGGGCCAGCTCTGACTCACCGTGACCCTGCACATGACAGGAAGCTGCCCTGCCTGGCCCTGCGCCGCCCTCACAGGGGCCACTGTGTGTAGGTTCACCGTGTGAGCACAGCGTTGCAGCCATGGCCCCCATCCAGCTTGTGGTTCCTGCAGCGGTTCCAAACGCCCCATAGGAGTGGGCCCCTCTCCCTGGCTCTCTTCAGGAGCGCCCTGCTCAGCTCTGGGGTTTCGGTAAGGGTGATTCTGGAAGGTCTTCAGTTTGGAAAGCCAGGCTCTGGGGTGCAGATTGGCCTGGAGGCTCTTCCTGCATTTTCTAGCCCGTCCTCCTGGGCCTGTCTCTGCTCTCCTGTCCCACCGCGTGCTGTAAGCATGGAGCACGACGTGGCTGCCCTCCTCCAGTTGAGTCACCCCTAAGTCCCTGGCCCGCGTGCTGTCTTCTAGCCTCCCCCATTGATTGCTCCCCGGCATCTAAAAGCGAGAAGCTGCATTTGGAGGCAGTGGGGTCCAGGGGAACACCCCACCCTGTCACCAGCTCAAGGCCTTCGATGCTGGGGGCCTGCACCAGCCCACTCCTGGTTAGTTTCCCTGGCCCCGGCCTCGCTGTCCCTCACGAAGCTGTGTCTTCTCACACAGACAGCCCCCCACAGCTTGCCCGTGCTCGGCGCCGTGTCCGGGAAGGGTCCCCTCACTGCCTGCGACTTCGACCTCCGCAGCCTGCAGCCGGACCCGCGGCTGGAGAACCTCCTACAGCACGTCAGCTCCGAGGACTACGAGCGGCGCAATGAGGAGGCCCGCAGGGCCAACCGGCCGGCCGAGCTCTTTGCCCTGTACCCGCCGGTGGACGAGGTGGGTGCAGGCTGTGGGTGGAGGGCATGTGAGGAGGGGTGTGAGCGTGACTGTTCCTCATCACACTTGCCTGTGTGCCACGAAGCTCACCTGTGGCTCCTGTTGTGCTGTTTCACTCAATCATTCACGCACACCTTGTTCCGTAAAATTAATGACAACACCCGCGATGGAACTGCACTTTCCCCAGTCCTTCCTGTGATTCTCATCTCCCTTCTCCCTTCTAACTTTCCCCTTCCTGCCTTCTCAGCTTTCTCCTTGGGCACATGCCACTCCTCGGCTGGTCATTCTAAGGGGTGAGTGCCTCCCTGGAGGTATTGTCACCTTGTGGACCCAGCTGCTGCTTGACTGGAGTTGGGCCACAGGGTTGAATTTTGTTCCAGGTTCCAAGGGGTCTGGGGTTCCACTAGTCTCTATGGGTCCGTAAACCTGGCTTTATGTTTTCGTTTTGTGATTTTGTTCTGTGTGTGTTACCTGGCCAGTCCTTGGACATCATGCTGGGAAAAGGAGGGGGTCACAGAAAGAGAGGAAGCCCCTCAACCAGGTGGGCTGACACAGTGACTTACAATGGGCTCAGCGAGTCGGAGACTGTGTGGAGTCACAGAGCAGGGCCAGGCTCTGAGCTGTGTTCACAGGGCCGCTGAGTCAGAGGATGGCAGCTAACAACAACAACAACAACAACTCTTCCTGTCTCTAATCGCTGTTCAGTAAAGCAGAGAAAGCCTGGTGGCACACTGGAATAAGCATTTAGCTGCTAATGGAAAGGTCCGTGTTCATTAAAGGATGTGGCAGATTTCCCTATAGGCTGCAATCCTGAAAACCAGAGGGACAGTTCTCGGTCCTGCAGGGTCACTGTGACTCAGAACCAGCTGGACAGCAGTGAATGGCAAGAAAATGGGCGGGCACATCTGTTAGTTGTTGTTCCCAGGCTTTCCTGTCCTCACACTGTCAGTGACCTGCGGATGTCCGTATGTCAGCGTCAGCTGTCACCATGTCAGCTCCGACTGCTAGTGACCCCACACACAGCAGATCAGAGCCCTGGCCGGCCCTGTGCCATCCCTATATCTCAGCTGATCTCTGATTCCTAGTGACCCCGCGCCCTGCCCGGCCCTGTGCTGTCCCCACGTCTCAGCTGAGCTCCAACTCTGAGTGACCCCATGCCCTGCCTGGCCTGTACCGTCCACACCATCTCGGCTGAGCTCTGACTCTGGGTGACCCCACACCGTTCCCGGCCCTGTGCCATCCACACCATCTCAGCTGAGCTCAAGTCCGCTGTTACACTCACTGCCTTGGTCCCTCTTGTTAAAGGTCTTTCTTTCACTGACCCTCCACCTTTCCCAGCATGGTGTCTTCCTCCAAGACTGGCATTTCCTGACACCATGCCCAATGCATATGACACAAAGTCCCAACATATTTGCCTCTGCAAAGAACCCTGGTTGAATTTCTTGCAGGTCAGACGGTTCTTTGAGCATTCCACTGTGAATATTCTTTCCAGGTCTACACAGAATCTGGGAACTCAACCTCATGACTCTTCTCTGACTTCAAATTATAAAACAATGAATGGAGAAGGCTTGCTTAGAGCATTGATTCACATCTCAGATTGAGATTCACAAGTTCAGTAAAGCCCTGAGCCTGGGGAGGTATTCTGAACAAGTGCTTGGAGCATGCGGACACACACACACACACACACACACACACACACACACACACACACAGAGTAAAACTAACCAACAATAGGGTCCAAGACGCCAGCTGGTGGATATGACTTCGTCACATCCACGTCCCGGTTTCCTTCCTTCCTCTCTCGGTCTCTTTGTCTCGGAACAAGGATTTGCTGTAAACGCTGACAGGCCTTAGTGGTTGGAGAACACTGTCCGTTGAAAAAGCTGAGTGTTGCTCTGCCCTCAGAAGTCTACATGTGCATTTTTACTTGGCTAGTGAGGGTGGCCCTCCCGTCCCTGGGTTCTCATCCGCTGGACATCCGTAGCTCCGGTAAAGTCATCCTTAATCTCTGTGCTGTGTGATTTCATCACAGGAAGATGCAGTGGAAATACGGCCGGTGCCAGAATGCCCGAAGGAACACCTGGGCAACAGGATCCTGGTCAAGGTCCTGACTCTGAAGTAAGTCAGCCCTAGCTAACCTGCCCACGGCCACTGGGGGACCTTGGCTCTGAAGTGCTGACTGTGTCTATCATCAGAGCCTCGAGGACACAGGTATTATTGTATTGTTGTTAGGGCAACACTGACCAAGAGCTGACCAGTAGGTTTTCAGAGGCTTTAAGTCGCACGGGAGGAGATTGCCCATCTTTCTCCAAAGGCGCAGCTGGTGGATTTGACCCGTGTGTCTTTGGGTTACAAACTCATTACCACTAAGCCACCAGACCTCCTTATTATTGAACTGTGGTTGTTAAGTGCCGTCAACTTGTATAACTTTCATCATTTCTGCACATTCATAGTCTGGAGGCAAGCCATTTCAGAAGTGGGTGCCACTCCTGCTTCCAGGCTTGTTTTAACTGGGGCGCTCCACCAAACACTGACCACCACGGGTAACCATTAATGCATTTGACACATCAGTGTCACACTGTTCAGCTTCACAGCAACCACAGGTTACCTCTGTACAACAATGGACAGACCAGTGCTCTACCACCTAGAAAAATGTTTGACCAAAACCAATTATTATTGTATATTATTATTAAATTATTGTTTTTATTTTTCTCTTTTTTAAAAAAAAAATTCATTTTCATGAAAGTTTACAGAGATTTAGGATTTCCAGTCATTCATTGTTGCACTTTTCTCCCTACCCACCGCATCCCCCCCCCCCCGTTTTTATTTCTTTTAAACCATATCTTTATTTCTTGTTTTTTGCTGAGAAAACACAGAATTTAAACCAATTCCGCTCTCTCCGCGTGTGCTTCACAGCACTTTGTGGAGCTGTGCTCCATTCTCAGCCCCTCTGCCCCGGTTACTGCTCTCTGGGAACGTAGACCCATCTTCCCCTACGGTTCCCATCTCGCCGTATCACTTGCCGTTGTCAGTGCCACCATCAAGGTCGTTCTTTAAAAGGTCCGATGCTCAAGGCAGACAGACTCTCCTAATCCAGCTGCTTGTGTGGTTTTAATGACTTGTTTTCTTTTTGTTGTTGAGAATCTACACAGCACTACACACACCGACTGGGCTTTCTCCGTGTTAACATCGTGACCGTGGTGTGTTCTTCAGCCTGGGCGGCCACTCTCACCTGCCTTTCCCCAGTTCCCCTCAAGAACAGAAGCTCACTGGCCCTGAGCTCCCTGCCTCTCCTGTCCAGTCACTGTCATGAGTATCCCAAACTTAACAGTTCCTGGGAAAACGCAGAACTCAGTGCAGGGTTCACTAACATGGAGGCTGAAATGTTGGTGGGTTTTGTGGACGTCAGGAAACTCTTTGGCTTAAGGAAACGGGATCTCAGGGTGATAGTGTTCTGAGGGTCACTCAGCATCATGACAGCATGCTTTCAGCAGTGACCAGGGCGACATCCTTCAGGATGTTGACCCCGCTGCTGGGCACGCTCCCTGCCCCCACAGGATGGCCCCATAAGCCATGGGGGCTGGGAAGAATTCTCTGGAAGTCTGCTCAGCAAGCCTTCTAGAACTTTCCAGTAAACAGGCTGCAGCTGTTGTCTTGGGGGGTGGGGGAGACACAGCCCGTTAGGACAGAGATGTGCTGTGAAGGACCTCGGGGCATGGTTGGGATTTCTCTTCACAGACCTTGTCACCTGTGCTTTCTGGTGACATTTCCCCAGCAGCTCAAAGAGAACGTATGTGCAGTGAGGTCCAGGCAGGCCTGGGTTACAAACAAGTCTGGGCACCCTTCATTGTTGTTGTGTACTGAACCAACCCTAGCTGACCATCCTTGTTTTCAGAGGCAGTTAACTGCAGGGGAGGAGATTGCACAACCTTCTTCCTCAGAGGAGCTGGTGGATTCGAACTGCATGCCTTTGGGATTGCAGCACAGCTTCTTACCTCTAGGCCAGCAGAGCTCCCTGAGCCGCCTTTTAAATCCGTAAATTCTATGCTTCGAAAGAGTGGAGAGAAGCCCGCTGCCCTGTTGTGGCTTCTGATGGGAACCCTGTGACACAGAGCAGAACTGTCCTGGGGGGTCCCCAAGGCTGTGAACGTTTACAAAGGCAGACTTGCCGCAGCTGTCTCCTGAGGAGTAGCTCGAGTGTTTACACCTGTGACCTTTTGGTTCAGAGCCGAGAGCCTTAGCCGCTGCACCACCAGAGCTCCTGACCCAGCTCCCGGTCACACTGAATTCTCACCATCACCTCCACTTGGTGCCCAGGCAGCCTTTAAATCACTGCACGGGTGTCTGGCCTTTTCTTGCACTAAACCAAAGCTGAAACGCCCACCATCGTCCAGTCCCGGCTCACAGAGACCCTCCCTCCCGCCCTCCAGCTTTCCCGGCTGAAAACCAAGGCAGGAGCAGACTGACTGCCTCGTCTCCCTCCCGACGAACCGCTGGGGGATTAGAACTGCCAACCTTTCTGCCAGCAAAATTTCACGACTGTGTTACAGACACACATTCTTCCTTTTCCATGGATATGCAGGGTCCCGTTTATAACTATGTCAGCTTTATCTTTGAGGAAATCCTTAAAAACATTTGTTTCACTATAGAAATGTCTGTGTGTGCCTTTGAGAAATATATAAAGCCCTTAAGGACACGGAAAGGAACCCGAGTGATTCAGGGGGCTGTATGTTGGGCTACTCACTTCAAAGCCTGAACTCATCAGCACCCCCTACAGGGGAGGGACAGATGGACAGTCCCCTCCCACAAAGAGCTGCAGCCTCAGAAGTCCCCGGAGTCAGAACAGATGCCTCAGCTGCGGGTCAAGTTAAGGCTTAAGGATACGAAAAGAAAGAGTCCTGGGGCAATTTTTCAAGTTCTTTTGGCAGAAAGAGAGTATTTTCCCTATATGATTATTTTTAATATTACTTAACAATTTATATCATTATAAATAATTTAGTAATTATTATAACTATATTATTGATTTATTACTTTATATTGTATAGTATATATTATTAATTTATTACTTGATAATTTGTATATTATTATTGAAAATATTTTAACATCTTTATGATTTGACATTACTTACATGGTAACAGTCCAAAATAAGACGTACTTAGCAAAGTGGACTGTGGGAAGGGGAGGGAGGAAATTGTGCAACAATGAATGATTTTTTTTTAAGAGTAAAAGCTAATAGTGTGGAGGGTAGGGAGGAAAATATGCAACAATGAATGAATGGAAATCTGAGTTGTCTGTAAACTTTTGCTAAAATCACAATAAAAATTATTTATAAATTTTTCAAAAGTATTTTTCTATCTTACCAGCTTCTCACCCTGTGGGAGCTCGTGGGAGGGTAACATGCTAGTAGCGATACTGCCTCGCTTTCTATGTTGTGCTTCAAGAGAGTGAAAAAGTTCTTTTTCTTTTTTAATTTAAAAGTTAATGTCATCTTGTGTTCGGACTTTTCTGGGAGGTGAATCTGCAGGTTCCTGTGACCCAGAGAGCTGCGTTGTGGCAGTTTGTCCCAAGTGTTTCTGAGAGGATGGTCCGTCCACCGTGCTCTCACTTGACCAGGAACCCTCCATGAGCCTCTCATGTTTCTCGACGAGGAGCACTAGTGGCCTGGTGGGAAGAAGCTGCGCTGCAGTCTCAAAGGCACTTGGTTTGAATCTACAGGCAGCTGCGCAGGAGAGCCGTGGACAGTCTCCTCTGTGCGATTCAACCGCCTCTGGAAATTGGCTAGAGGGTCAGCTCAGTCGGTTCCAGCTCCACAGTATACAACAGTAACCCAGTAAAACACCAAACTCCCTGCCATTGAGTCCATTCCTTAGTGGTTCTATGCTTACAGCACCCAGCTGCTAGCTAAATGGTTAGCTGTTCAAACCCACTAGCTGCTTCCATAAAGATTATGCAGCCCTGCCACTGCCATCAAGTTGATTCCAACTCATAGAAACCTTCCATTGGGTTTCGGAGGCTGTAAATCTTTCTGTTCATCTTTCTTTTCCTGGAGCAAGGTGGTAGATTCAAACCACTGACCTTTAAGTTAGCAGCCCACCTTGGAAACCTTATATAGGACAGTCGTGGTCTGTCCTACAGAGACTCTGAATCAGAATTGTCTTGATAACAGTGGGATAATATCCCAGGGCGAGTCTCACAAACTTTGAGTGATTCAAACACATGTTTGTGCTTTTAATCATTTCCTGCTTCCAGGCGTTTGTCAAGAACTCGAAGTTAGTCAAGGTACAGCCCTATGGACCTGTCTCTTTGTCTCACAGGTTTGAGATTGAAATCGAGCCTCTATTTGCCAGCATCGCGCTCTATGATGTTAAAGAAAGGAAGAAGGTGAGTGGCCCACATGCCAAGGCAAAGAACAGCTCTGTGCGTCCTCCCGGCCAGCTGGGATTCCGGGCTCACATCTGTGCAGTGAAAGCACACAAGATTTGAAACCATGTGGCCTCTGGTGGGCCCAAGTGTGATTTTGAGACAGATCCCTTGGGAACACTGGCCATTTATGTTCTTTGCAGAAAGACACTGGTTTACTTGTGGGGGGTTTTATTGTGACACTGGGGTGTGGGTGGCATATGGCCTCATCCTGGGAGAACTTGGCACTGTGAGATAGACTCACACTTAAGGGGGGGATGGCACGTTGGTGAGTATCTCCATTTGACCTAAGTGAGACCTCACCAAAGGCCATGCGCTTTTAAGTGGCCCCAGAACCCTCTGGCATCTCTGTGACTGGCCGTGTTGTTGCTCTATAAGAAGCTCTTTAAGCAAAACCAGAGCTCTGGTGGCCTAGTGGCAAGAAGCTGCACTGCAATCCCAGAGGTACGTGGTTCTAATCCACCAGATGCTCTGCTGGAGAAGGAGGGACAGTCTCCTTCTGTACCAGTAAGATCCTATTCGACAGTACACACCAAAAAATAATACATTTTTTAAAAAAAAGAAGCAGGGCAAAACCAGAGCAGGACGCGTGGCCCTACTTCAGCCTTGTGCATGTTAGGAAACACGTGTCTCCTGAATGAATATTAATAACCACTCAGCTTGTGTTAAAACCCTCTGTCATCAAATTGATTCCAACTCCTAGAGGCCCTGAAAGAGTAGAGATGCCTGTGGGATGTCCAGGGTTGTGAATGTTTCCAGAAGCAGACAGAGAAAAAGATTCATCTTTCTCCCATAATGTGGCTGGTGGGTTTGAACTGTCAACATGCAGTTAATAGTAGAATTCTTAAACACTGTGCCACCAGTTCTTCTTTAAATGCGAACCACACCGGTGACCACCATGGTGCTATGGACTTGTTACAGACTCATAGGGAAGCACAGCACTGCCCACAGCACCTTAGGACGGCACGTCGTCTTTTTGTGTGTGTGTGAGAAAAATCTGTATTTAGAATTAGCCAACTCTAAGAGAAATGCAAATTAAAACAACTATGAGCTATATCATCACACCCCAGTCAAAATAGCAAAATTTAACAGAACAGCAAGCAACAAATGCTGACAAGGTTGTGAAGAAACTGGAACCCTTATTCACTGCTGGTGGGAGTATAAAATGGTGCAACCACTGCGGAAGGCAGTATGGCGCTTTCTCAAAAAGTTGCAAATAGAGATACCGTTTGTCCCAGCAATTCCACTACGGGAATATACCCCAAAGAGACCATGACTGACATCCAAGCAGATACGTGCACACCCATGTTTATCACGGCTTTGTTCACAATAGGAGTTGGAAACAACCTAAGTGCCCATCAACAAACGAACGGATAGAGAAGCTGGGGTATATTCACACAATGGAATACTACGCTGTATTGAAAAACAAGGAACTCATGCAATATTATTCAAAATGGGTAACCCTGGAAGACATGCTGAGTGAAGTATCTAAGTCACAAAAGGGCAAATACTGCATGGTGCCACTGTTGTAAAACAGGACTGGCATCGGGGTTGGGGGGAGACTGAGAAAGATGGGTTGATAACTTATACTGCAGTGAAACAGATGAGGGAGAAAACTGTTTAAAAGGGATATGTGATTAGGTATTTTTGTTATGACAGGAGTCTAGAGCAAAGGCTACATGGTGGAGTGGACCTGGGGGAGGGTTTGTAAAACTATGAAAGAATTTTTCTTTTACTTTTCCAAGAGGGTAGTGCACTAGGGGGGAGGGTTGGGTGGGGAGAAATGCGCAACAATGAATGAATGGAAATCCAAAGTCTCTGTAAATTTTTACTAAAATTAATAATAAATTTAAATTAAAAAAAAAAGAATTAGCTAGATGGACTCAGTTTAGATGATCCCAATTTTGTTGGCAACATCCAAATAATCATAGTCAGGAGCAAGTCGAACACAGGCCTTCTCCTCTCTATCAGGCCTGATCAAGGTGTTGACTTTGGCCACATCAGTTTCACAGAGCTTCTTTACCGCTTGTTTGATTTGGTGCTTGTTGGCCTTGACGTCCACCATGAACACAAGTGTGTTGTTATCTTCTGTCCTCATCATGGCTGACTCAGTGGTCAGGGGAAACTTGATGATGGCATAGTGGTCATGCTGGTTTCTCCTGGGGACGCTCTTCCGGGAGTATGCAGACTGCCTTCGGAGTGTCAGCGTCTTAGGCCGCCGGAAGGTGAGTGACGTGCGGATCTTCTCTTTTTTGTGGCTGTGGACGCCCTTCAGGACGCCTTCTTGGCCTTTGATGCCTTTGCTTTGGCTTCAGTTTTGGGAGGATGAGCACATCTCACTTCTGACAAGCAGCTGGTGGATTTGAACTGCTGACCTTTCAAGTGGCAACCAAGCACTTACTGCTTTGCCTTCAGGACCCCCTCGATATTTGTATTTGGCTACAGAAAGGACTGTAACAAATAGATCTGTGAGTCCAGCACTTTAAAGCTGTACCGTGTGATGTCGGGGAGCTCGACGCCAGGCCCTAGAGAGCTGGTCTACGGAGCCGAAGATGGTGCATCTCTGGTGGTTCAAATTCACAGCGACTGTGCGGGAGAGAGGTGGGCAGTGTCCTCCTAGGTGATTGCCAACCTCCAAAATCCCTCTGGAGGGTCAGCTGTGAGTTGGTTCCAGTTGGACAGCAGTGACTTAACTTGATGCTGATGTTGGTGCCATAGCAACCTCACGTGACACCTAGGGTGATGTTGTGGTTAGGTGCCGTTGAGTCGTAGATGACTCATAGCAACCCTATTGTTGCAGACCGAGGGTCCCAAAGAATGGAATAATTTTATAATTATTAATAAAGAGACAAACAGCCAGAAATGTGATAGAGCAGAGAGCATAAAACAGGGGGCCAGCAGTTCCCTACTGAAGACCCCAAGCCAAGCTTCTCTGTGCCTTTATTGAAAATTAACAGGAAGTAAATCACAAAGAGAATTCAATGCAAATGAAGCCAAGCTCTTTCTATTGAAAACCTTCTGCTTGACTCAGGAAGGAGGGGTTCACAAATGCAAGAATTTGGTTTACCCTTAACTATTAACCTTGATGCCTCAGGGTGAACTCTAGCTCAGGAAGTAACACTCCCTCTATAGGGGGCCCCTTGCTGTCTCCTGTCTTGCAGGGAACAAACAGCTCATTTTCTAGGATCTGCCATAAGAGAAATCCTAATTTATATATCTGTAATTCCTTCAATTCCTGAACAAGGGTTTTCATATAATGTTTGGTATAAAGTTTGGCTTCCCATACCCTATGAACGAAAGGCCTGAGCACTTTTCATAGTTTCCAGAGGCAAGCCATTTAGGTGATACTTATGGGAGTAGGTGACCGTATCTTTCTCCCGAGAAGACTCCAGGTACGATTGAGCCACCACCCTTTTAGTTAGCCACCACTTAGCCACTGACCACGTAAGCATGGTGTCAGCAGGCCCCTCAGAATACCCTCCCAGTCCCCAGTCAAGCCCACTGCCACAGAGTGACTTCCGGCCTGTAGCTGCCCTAGGGGATTCACAAGGTTTGGGTCCTAGTAAGAAGTTGCATTGTAATCCCAAAGGCACAAGGTTCAAATCCATCAGTTGCTCTGTAGGAAGATGGACAATCTCCTCCCATGTGATCTGCTACCACTGGAAACCTGCTGGAGCTTTTCACCTCTGACTAAAGAACAAACAACAAAAGAGCTTGAGGGAAGCAGACAGCTTCCTTTCTCACACAAAGGGCTCGTGGGTAGAACTGCTGATCATGTGGTCAGCGGTCGCATAGTCCAACCACTGGACCACCAGAGCTCCTAAGAATGCCTGTTGTTGTTGTTGTTGTTATGTGTAGTTGAGTCATCTGCATCTCATAGTGAGCCTATGTTGTACAACAGCCCTAAACCCTGCTCTATCCCGTGCCAATCTCATTGTCTCTGATACACCCATCCTGATTACCCTAGTCACTGAATCAATCCACTTTATAGAGGGTCTTCCTCTCCTGCGCTGTCCCTCCACTCTACCCAGCATGACGTCCTTCACCAAGGACTGGTCCCTCCTTGTAATATTTCTAAAGTATGTTAGACGAAGCTTCAGAATCCTTGCCTCCAAGGAGCAGCCTGGCTTCATCCTCTCCAGAACAAATCTGTTTGTTCTCCTAGCAATCCATGGTACATTCAATACTCTTCTCCAGAACCACAGCTCAAAGGTATCAATTCTCCTTCTATCCTCCCTAGTCATTGTCCAGCTCCCTGATGCATAACAAGTGATTGAAAAGACCATGGCCTGTATCAGACGCACCTTACTCTCCAGACTGACATCATTATAGAGCTTAATAAATTACAGAATACCAGGCTTTGCCTCAGGGTTCTTAGGTCTGCAGGTCAGGGACTCTGGGTGGCACAAGCAGCTAAACACTTGAGGACCAGCTAAGAGGTTGGCAATTCAAGTCCACAGAGAAGAACTTCAGACTAAAGGCCTGGGGGTCTGTAAGTCCCAATGTGCTCAGAGCTCCTCTGGCCCACATGGGACTCAGAGCCGCACAGCCTCCCGTGGAGACCAATGTTTCCTGGTTTAGGCTGGAGGTGGGGCATTGAAGTTGCATTTTTAGCAAGCGCTTAGGGGTTCTACTGGTGGGGTAAGGGCATTTCCAGAGCCACGTCTGTTTCTTTTTGTCTTTATTTAATCTTTGGACAGTAAATATCTATTGCATTCCCCGCTTTATTTATTGAGAATTTTACAAATCACATTAATTTTTAATTCATATACATTTTTAAGACATTGTAATTACCATTTCATTGTATCATTAATACACATTTTATAGCCTTACCAACTGTTGATTAATGTAATTAATTATAATGTCTAATTAGCCCTGTATTATATCTCATCTTTTCCTTTACCCAACTTATCTATTTTTTGCTTTGCTTTTTTTTCTTTTAAAACATTTTCATTATTTTTTAAGTGAAGGTTACAAATTATATTGATTTTTCAAACAACCATTCATACTTTCTGTTTTAGAAGATTAATTAGTATTGATTAATGTGATTAATTTATTAACAAGAAGTCCCATCTTCCTTTCTGGATAGCATCGGTACTCAGGAAGTACTGGCTGGTTAATAAAAGTAAAACTATGTCAAGGAATGCTCTCAAGTGGCTTCCAAGCATCTAGAGAATGTGGCAAAATAGTCACAGGATTTTCTTGCTGCAGGTTGTCACCGGCCTCACTCTTGGTGACACTCGTTCCTCCATTGAGATTTCTTTGTGTTTTTCACTCTTCTTTTTATTTTTTAACTTTTCTTTTCAGTTATGTTTAGATTCTGTGTTTAGATTATGAGAAGGAGCCTGGTGGCTCTAAACACTAATCTAAGCACTGACTTGCTAACCCAAAGGTCGGTGGTTTGATCCCACCTGCCTACTCCTCAGGAGCACGATGAGGCAGTCACTCCTGTTAAAATTTACGGCCTGGGAAACCCTGTGAGCAGACAGTTCTACCCTGTGCTGCAGGCCTGTTACGAGTCCTCATCAGATCGACCGCAATGGCTGTGGTTTGCTTACGAAGTTCATATACATTGGGCTCCACACTTCATTCACGTTGGGTTTCATATAATCATTCTCATGCATTATGGGTTTGTTTTCCTCTATAAGGGTCCAGGTAAAAAGACTGTAAATGATGGGCAAGGTCCAATGTGGTTTGCTTTTAAAGGAACCCTAGGCTTTTGACTGTGTGGATCACAACAAGCTGTGGCTGACTCTGAGAAGAATGGAAATCCCAGAACATTTGATTGTGCTTATGAGAAACCTATACTTGGACCAAGAGGCAGTCATCAAAACAGAGCAGGGAGACACTGCATGGTTCAAAATTGGGAAGGAGGTCCATCAGGGATGTATTCTGTCTCCATACCTTTTCAATCTGTATGCAGAACAGATTATCTGAGATGCTGGGCTGTACGAAGAGGAATATGGCATCAGGATTGGTGGAAGAGTCATCAACAACCTGCCTTAGGCAGATGACACAACCCTGCTTGCTGAAACTGAGGAGGACCTGAAGCGCTTGCTGCAGAGGATCAAGAACTGCAGCCTCCTATATGGATTGAAGCTCAACATCAAGAAAACAAAGATTCTCACCACTGGGCCAATTGGCAGCATCAGCATGGATGGTGAAGAGATTGAGATAGTTAACAGTTTTAGTTTGCTTGGCTCCACAGTCAACACTCTTGGTAACAGCAGCCAGGAAATCAAGAGACGAATTGCATTGGGAAAGTCGGCTGTGAGGGACCTCTCAAGAGTACTGAAGAGCAACGTCAGGCTGAAGATTAAGGTGTGCCTGATCCAGTCTTTGCAATTACGTGCTATACATCGGAGAGTTGGACAGTGACTAGGGATGATAGAAAATTGATGCCTTTGAGCTGTGGTGCTAGAGAAGAGTGTTGAATATACCATGGACTGCTAGAAGAACAAACAGGTTTGTCCTGGAGAAGGTGAAGCCAGAATGTTCCCTGGAGTCAAAGATTCTGAAGCTTCGTCTGACATATCTTGGGCATGTTGCAAGGAGGGAGTGGTCCTTGGAGAGGGACATCAGTTTGGCAGAGTGGAGGGACAGCGAAGGAGAGGAAGAACTTCAATGAGATGGATCGATTCTGTGACTGGTGAGAATAAGTGCGTTTGAGATGGCTAGGGTGGTACAGGATAGAAGAGCATTTAGGGCTCTTGTACATACGGTCGCTATGAGTTGCAAATGACTCGATGGCACATAACAACAACAACAAGTCATGTAAGAACTCAGCTTAAGAACTGACAGTTCAGTGGTTCAAACCCACCCTGTTCTGTGGGAGAACGACAAGGCGTCCTGCTTCTGTAAACAGTGCAGCCCAGAAGCCCTGTGGGGCCATTCTGTGTCCTCCAGGGTGGCTGAGCTGGGACCCACGCTGCGCACTGGGTTTTGTTTTCAGCCCAGGATAAGAGCAGGTCTAATGTGTTTACTCTGCTGCTTCTTTACAGATCTCGGAAAATTTCCACTGTGACCTCAACTCAGACCAGTTCAGAGGCTTCCTGCGCGCCCACACCCCCTCAGTGGCCGCCTCCAGCCAGGCGAGGTCTGCGGTGTTCTCGGTCACCTTCCCGTCCCCCGACATCTACCTCGTCATCAAGGTAATCAAGCACTCTCATTTGCATATTCTGGAGTTTTCCTTGCCTCATCGCCCCCTGCACGTGTTTGAGGTAGAAGAGACATCACGAGGTGCATACAGGCAGACCTCAGCAGCACAACAGGTTCGATTCCAGCCCACTGCAACAGAGCAGCGCTAAAACCAGCAAGTCTCACGAACCTGCTGCTTCATGTGCATACGAGAGACACATGCTGTACTGTGGTCCAGGAAGTGTCTGACAAAGACTGAATTACCACCGACGGGGCAAAAACGTCACACAGAGGCACAGAGTGAGCACGTGGCATTGGAAAGAAGGTTCTAGTAGACTTCTTGATGAAGGGTCGCCACAAACCTTCAATCTGTAAAAAATCACAGTGTCTGCAAAGTGCAGTAAAAGGCAGCGTGCCTGCATTTCTCTTCTGTGAGGGGATGTTTGTTTTCTTCTTGACTTCCTCTCCCCTCTCCAGTACAGCTCTGTGTCAGATACCAGGAAGGTTATGCCTGCGGTCCTGGGTTTGAATCCTTGCAGCTTAGCGGCAGTATGACTTTGCGATGAGCTGGAGTTGACTAGACTACGCCCAATGGCTTCGTGGGCTGTTAACTAACCCCTGTGAGACTGTGTTTCCTCGTCTGGAAAGTGGGCACAAAGCACAGATGTCCAGGTGTCTGTCTCTGAGAAGAAATTGGAACCTTCTAATTCCTTGCTAGTGGAAATTTGAAATGGTACAGAGCTGTAAAAACAGATCAGTGGATCCTCCGAAAGTCAAGCACAGAATTCCCAGATGACCCAACAATTCCACTCCTAGTCAGAGACCCCAAATCTTGACAGCAGGGACTCAAACAGATACATGTACGTCAGAGAGTTCAATGCATCATTATTCTTGATAGCCACGGGGTAGAAATGACTTACACGATCCTCGGTAGATAAATGGATGAGCATAATGTGATATATGTGCACAGGGAGTTATCGCTCCGCTGTAAAGAGAAATGGAATCCTGATGCCTGCTAACAGATGGAGGGAACTCACAAGCATGACGCTGAACAAAACCAGTCACCAAAGGACAAATACTGTGTGATCTACATACGGGGGATAGCTAGACTTGACAGCTGGCCAGAGACCAAAGGTAATCAGTGGTACAGGCAGGTAGGGGGAAGAAAGAGGGAGTCATAACTTAAGGGGCTGCAAGTTTCTTCAAGGTGACGAAAAGAATTTGGAAATGCTGGTGGTGATGAAGCCGTGACGAAGATAATGAATGCCAATGAGTGATATGCAGAAGACTGAAATAGCAAATGTTTAGTTATACATCCTTTGCTCACTTATATGTAGGTTTTCACAGACCAGGTTGTTATGTGAAAATCAGGGCTATGAGAAAATGGCAATGATGTAGAGAAGCTGGGAAGAGTGGAGGGTCAGCACAGAAGAGGAAAACTCTGGAAGAGATCATTTGACTCAGTCACTGTGGCAACGAGGTCAGGTGTATCAGAGACGGTGAGGTTGGCTCAGGGCAGGGTTCAGAGCCATGGTTCATAGGGTCGCTGTGAGCGGCACATCACAACAGCAACAACATTGCATAACTGCCACATTATTGTTGTTGTTGTTAAATGCCATCGAGTCGCAGGTGACTCATAGCGACCCTATGTACAATGGCCCTAAACCCTGCTCTGTCCTGCGCCAATCACACTGTCTCTGACACACCCATCCCGATTACCCCAGTCACTGAATCAATCCACCTCGTAGAGGGCCTTTCCCTCCTGCGCCGTCCCTCCACCCTCCCAAGCATGATGTCCCTCTCCAAGGACCTGTCTCTCCTTACAATATGTCCAAAATATGTCAGACAAAGCCCCAGAATCCTTGCCTTCAAGGAGCAGCCTGGCTTAACCCTCTCCAGGATGAATCTGTTTGTTTTCTTGGCAGTCCATGGTACATTCAATACTCTTCTCCAGCACCACAGCTCAAAGGCATCAATTCTCCTTCTATCCTCCCTAGTCATTGTCCAACTCTCTGATGCATAACAAGTGGTTGCAAAGACCATAGCCTGTATCAGATGCATCTTAGTCTCCAGAGTGACATCATTGCTCTTCAGTACCCTGGAGAGGTCCCTAACAACAGACTTTTGCAATCTGGAAAACTGCCACATTACATCAGTGAACAATTACCAAATAACATCCACACCTAGCTGATAAGTTACACCCTCACATACCTGCAAAAGGGCATCATCACATAACTGACAACATCAACACCTCACTGACAGGATGACATCGTCTGGTAACTGACAGACCCAGAGAATCGCAGCCCATCTAAGCTGCTGCGTGTCCTAAACCAGCACAGTTAGCCTTACTCTCCCCCAAATCTTGCAATAATGGCACCCATTACCGCCAGCTGTTATATGTTATTAATACAAAAAACAGCAGGTTTTTCACTCTTGCCTAAATGTGAAAGGTCAGAGCATGAGATAGTCGTTAAGTGAGGAATGTGTTTATTTTACTTCAGTTTTTTTAAAGTTTGAAGGGAAAAAGTATCAACTTTTTGACACACAACTAACAAAGCTAACGGCACTTGTTTTTCTCTTCCACATCTAATTTAAACTAAATTTTCTTTGATCAGAGAAGTAGGAAATGCCACTGCCTTTTCTCTCTCCTAAACGTGACATCCAACCTTTGTCGCAGCCAATCAGGGAGATACTTTGCCTGAAGTCTTGAGTCCAGGAAACTCAAGAGTATTACATGCTGTAGTTAACCAGTCTTCGAAGAAGTGCAACCAGAATGCTGCTTAGACTTGAAGGTTGCTTTGACTATGCTCTCAGGAGGGGCCGATCTCTGGAGAAGGACGTCTTGCTTGGCAAAGCAGTTGTCGTGATGTGCCGTAGAGTCAGAACCAACCCCTACCTGGCCCTCCAGCAGGTATTCAGAGGCAGTAAATCACACGAGAATAGATTGTCTTTCTTTATTCCATGGAGTGGCTGTCGGGTTTGAACCATGTGCCTTTTGATTGGCAGTGCAACTCCTTACCACGATGCCACCAAAGCTGCCTTGGCAAAGTAGAGGGTCGGCAAAAAAGAATGTTCAATTTTCATGAATTAACACAGTGGCTGCAGCCAGCAGCTCAGACATAGAAGAGGTGTTGTTCACAAGGTCGCCTAGTCCCCAGGGGCTGTCTAACCCGGAGGAGACACCGCCTGGCAATGCAGAACCATCATCAGCACCGTAAGAGAGAGATGGGCCACCTCCTTCAGTGTGATTTACAATCTTGGAAACCCTCTGAAGGACCAGCTGAGATAGTTCCAAATTGACAGCAATGGAGAGAGAAAGACATGCAGCAGAGCTGACTGGACAGCACCTCGGACAGCACCATGGTGAACTCTCTGATGTCCACTACCCAGAGGACCAGCCCGCAGGCAGAGGGAGATGCTGTGACACTACTGAAGTCTCATTTCCCGGCAGGTCTGTTAAATCAAGAGCAGAGGCCCTAATAGGATCTCCATGGGAGATAATGACATATAATTTATTCTGTTCGTTTTTCCATTTTGCGGAAGGTCCCAGTCCCCAGCTGACTTTTACAGAGGCTGTAAGTCTTTTTTACATTGTAAGCATTAAGAAAGAAAATGAGTTTTCCCCTTCCTACGTGTGTCTCTTGTGCTTTGCTTTATAAAAGAACTTTTATTGCGTTTTTACTGGGGACATAATACATGTTTATTGCTTCAAAAGTAGAAGATACACACTAGTGTTTGGAAGAATATAAAAATAGCTTACAATTCTGTGATACACAGATAACTTTTAACCTTTGGTATTTATCAGCCATTACTCTTCCATAAGTTTTTATGAGATTTAAAAACCAATATTGGAAAATACTCTTCATGCTAGTTAATTTTTTAATCAAAAACTTGCTGTAGATAGCGTCTTCCTCTGTGGTGATGAAGAGTCGTCAAACATCGTTTTGATGGTGGCGTCGATTCTGTGGTACTGACCTCTAACACGTGTTCACTGTTGTAACTTTGTTTTTGTTGGTAGATTGAAAAAGTCCTGCAGCAGGGAGAGATCGGAGAGTGTGCGGAGCCCTACCTGGTTCTTAAAGAGAGCGACGGCGGGAAGGTAGGTGGTCAAACACTCTTAGCTGTCACCCTCTGACAGGGTCTCAGCACAAGCAGAGATTGCACATTCCCCAGAATGTGCCATGGGAAGGTAGATGGGCCGAATGGTTCATGTCCCAGCCCAAGATAAGACACTGAGAAGTTGTAATATTACACACAAAGGGTGACCCTGGAGGACATTATGTTGAGTGAAGTATCTCAGTCACAAAAGGACAAATACTGTTATAAAAGAGGACTGACATCGGGGTTGGGGGGAGACTGAGAAAGATGGGATAAATAATGTATACTGCATTGAAACAGATGAGGGAGAGGACTGTTTAAAAAGGATGTATGATTAGGTATTATTGTCATGACAGGAGTCCAGAAGGAAGGCTGCACAGTGGAATGGACTTGGGGGGAGTGATTGTATAACAATGAAAGAATTTTTTCTTTTACTTTTCAAAGAGAAAAGTGAATTGGGGAGGAGGGGTGGGCAGGGAGAAAAGTGCAACAATGAATTAATGGAAATCCAAAATCTCTGTAAACTCATTATAATCAATTAAAAATTTTTTTAAAAAGAGGAAGGAAGCACTGGTCACTGGTGATGCATTTTAAAAGAAATAAAGTCTTTACCTCAGTGGCCAGGTGGGAGATGTGTAGCTTTTGCCCTGCTCAACAGAAAGTCAGCGGTTTGAATCCACCAGAGGCTCCATGCAAGGAAGAGAGGCAGTTTCTTCCCATGAAGATTTATAGCCTTGGGACACAACGCAGGGTCACTGCGGGTCAGAGTTGATTTGATGGCAGGCGTTTGGTTGGTGTTTTCCTGACCGTGATATGAGGCGTGCTGACGCCAGTCACTAAATGCTCAGCTGTTAACCAGAGGTTGGTGCTTCAACCCGCCCAGCAGCCCCATCTGGTGATTCGCTCCTGTCATGGTGACAGTCAGTGAAACCTTGTGTGGTGTTCCCTGTCCCCCAGAGCTGCAGTCAAGCCGGCAGCAGTGGGTTTGGCCTTTGTGACCCCTCCTCAGCGAGGTTCGGGGACCCCCTGACGGGACATCTCTCCCCAGCATCACTTACCAGAGGTTGCTGATAGGATCATGAAATGTGACCTTCCTGGAATAGCGCATTCCCGAGCCGTGGACTCACGGATTTTAAGTTGGATGCGGGATTTTGTAAAAGGCCTGCTTAGACCCTGAGCACAGACCGGAGGCCTGGGCAGTGCTGTCGCCTGAGGAGGAAGTTGTTAGGGGACTGTGTGTCCCAGGGAGTGGGGGAGGGGGTTTCCAAGGCAGCTTGTGAGGAACAGGATAGCGGGGACCCTGGATGAGGAGAGGTGAGACTTACTGTCCTGAGCGTCTCCTGTGGACACTCATTGTGTGGTGGTCCCTGCAGCACCCACTCATGGACCAGCCTGCATGGCAGGTCTTCCACATGCTGTTGAAGCTGTAACGCACCAATTAGAGGTGGTGCCTTTCTCTTTAAACCCTTCCTGTTGAATTGCGTCTGAAATCACTGGATCTTTCCATCACTGGATGGTGACATCAGGTGCCATCCATTCAATGTCCGATTCATAGTAACCCCTGTGTTAAGAGGTAGCACTGGCCCAGGGTTCCCTGGGCTGCAATCATCGTGGTATTAGCTAACAAGGAAAGCAAGCTTTTTTACAAAAAAGGAGAGGTTTAAAGAAAAGCTGGATTCAATTACTATGTTACAGCTTCAATCACAGCAACGTGAACCACCAGCCTTGTGTTTAACAGTTGAAAGCTTAAGCACCGTGCCACCAGCAGGTCTCAGAGCCGGCTGCCAGGTTCGGGATGGCCAGGTTCAGGGTAGACTTGGCAGTGATGCCGTACTGCATGCATTTGATCGTCTCTGTCCATTTTTCTCCAGAGCAAAGACAAAGTGGAAAAGCTCAAGCTCCAAGCAGAGTCCTTCTGCCAGCGTCTGGGGAAATACCGGATGCCCTTCGCCTGGGCCCCCATCAGCCTCAACAGCTTCTTCAATGTCTCCAGCCTCGAGAGGGAGCTGTCCGACGTGGAGGCCGTGGGAGGTGAGACCTTTGTCTGAGCCGATGTGAACTGACTACAGCAACAGCACCTAATCACAAAACCTTCACACGGCATTTTTTTAAAAACGCCAGCTTCTATGTTGACCTGAGCAGTCTTATTTGGAATTGTTAAGCTTCGAGTATAGACACCGTTCTAAAGGTAAATTCAAGCGCAGGGCAGGCTGGGACCAGGAACAAGCAAGGAGGAAGGAACGCGAAGTAGATCAAAGGTCCACTGCCAACTGCAGAGGCTGACACGGGGCAGCGTGATGAGTCCGGGCGTCATGGTGACAGGAAGTTCTGGTCCAGCGTCGTGGCAAGAACCAGGGATTAGAGGGTGCACTAGACAGGGCCTGGCAGTGGGAGGATGAAGAGCTGACCACCCCGCTGCAGAGCTGCACGTGAACGCAGAAGAGCAGTGAGATGCATCCAGAAAGGAGGAGCCTCGTGGCCCAGTGTTTAAGCACTTGGCTACGAACTGAAAGGTCAGTGATTTGAACACACCAGCCACCCCGGGAGAACACTGTGGCAGTCTCCTTCTGTAAAGATGTACGTCATTCAATTTTTGCAATCAGATATTAACCAAACATGCAATCAAGATCTATTCATGATAATTAGCTCCTCGAATCAAAATGCTGTAAACAAAGAAGAGGGAATCGTAGCTGCAAAATATGAACCTGGCAGACAGGAAAGTGTGCGACAAAGAATGAATAAATCCAACCACTGTAAACTTTCATTAAAATAAAAAAATAATTTTGGGGGGAAAAATATGTACATCAGGTACGTCCTTGGAGCAGCAGTGGAGTAGTCTATCCAAAGGTGCCTTGGAAGAAAGGCCTGGCAATCTACTTCTGAAAAGACCTGCCATTGGAGACGCTGCGGAGCTCAGTTCTCTGACTCACATGAGTCACCGTGAGTTGGAGTGGACTCAATGGCAGATGTCCTGGGTTCGGTGCTAAAGTAACTTGTGTGCTTGAACAGAAGGCCGCGCTCTAAAATGATCACTGTTTTCCTCACAGGGAGAGGCTCCCTGGGGGAGCGGAGAACACTGTCCCAATCCAGAAGGCTTTCTGAGCGAGCTCTGTCCTTGGAGGACAGTGGATCCACCTTCAAAACCACCTCCATGACCATCAACAACTTCTTCAAGCAGGTATCCCTCTGTGCTACACCATGTCTGCCTCTGGCCCCATCTTGAAGGGGGGTGTAAGTGGAGATTCAGAAAGAGGCTAGGGTTCTTCGGGGCAGAGTTTCAAGGGCATTATTACAAAACACGGCTGACGCTTTCGTTCTGTGGGCTGTTGGAACATGAGACAGTGTTACAGGCTGAGCTGTATTCTCTAAAACGTGTGTCTTCGAGGCCCCCCCCCCATGATTCTCAGTGTTGTGTAATTATTCTGCACTTTGTGATCCGATGTAATCAAGACCAAATATTATAAATCTATTCTAAACCTCCCCCTCTGTGTTGTTGCCTCATCCTCTGGGCATGTGGTCAGGAGGGGCTAGTCCTTGGGAAAATAGATGGTCAGCAAAGGAGAGGAAGCCCTTAATGAGCTAGAGGGACGCCGTGATGACAGCTGTGGACTTGAGCGTGGTGGAAACCACGGGTGGTGCAGCGTGGCAGGGCAGGGCTTCCGCCTGCTTGTTGAGTCTCTACAAATTGTGGTCCACAGCACCGAACAATCACATGATGTTCGTGAGGCAGGCTGCAATCTCATGGTTATGTTGTCGCTTGAGTCAGTCTTTGGAGCTCTTAAAAAGATTAACGTAGGAGCAGATAGGATGGAGACTTCAATACCGTCAAGAGAGGAGAGCCCGAGAGACATGAGTCCTCTGGACAATGAGGCTGTACACTGGGAACCTTCCAGAACCAGGACACAGACAGAGTCAGCTTTCTCCTGGAGGCAGCACACCGAATTCAGCCTCCTAGCCTCCTAACTAGGAGAGAAAGGAAGTTGTGTTTGTTAAAGCTGCCCCTTACAGTGTGTCTGTGTTTCAGAACTAGATAGTGAGGACAGATGGCGTCACGAGAGGCTAACCAGTCAGATGGAAGGGAGAGCGAAGGGATACCTGATGAGAGGTTGGACCAAAGGGTTTCAGAATGGCCTGTCCTGTTAATGTCTGTGAAAGACAGACTGAAATAAGAAAAAGGGGAACAGCTTGTGGGAAATGGTTGTTCAAGGCACGTAGACACTAACGAGCGTCTCTTGGCAGGAGGGCGATCGTCTGAGCGACGAAGACTTGTTCAAGTTCCTGGCTGACTACAAAAGGTCTTCATCGCTGCAAAGGAGGGTCAAGTCCATTCCAGGTGGGGACACTGGTCCTAATCATCGGAGCTGAGACAGTTAGATGAGTCATGTCTCTAACTCTGAAAATCATCTTTTCCAAGTGAAATGTGGGTTTTGTCCTAACAGTTAAGAATGTTAAGGTGTTTAGTGTGGGGCAGAGAAGTCACCAGAAGCAGAGTATACGGAGGCACAGGGCACACTGGGGTCTCGGTGACGGGCACGCAGAGCTCCGTGCGTCGCCAGTCGGTGATGTTCCCTTTGGGGTTTTAGCGTAGATTCTTTCAAGAAAGATTGTAGCTTCAAGCTGGGCTCTCACATAATTATATGAAAAAAATTAACTGTCCGGTCACTCTCAACTCCTGTCAACACCATGGGTGTCATTCTTAACAAGTGAAATATTATCTGCTGCCCTATTATAAAAATAATTAAATATGATTCCAGTTTCCTGGTGACACGTGAGTGTGTCTGTCCTCATCCTCAGGTCAATAGCTGAGGCTCCTGTGTGGTCCTGGGGGGACCAGAGAACACAGTGTGGAAACTGCCAGTTTTCCACGCTCACAGGGCCCGGAGGCAAGTAACGGTGTATTGTTGTTGTTGTTTGGTGGTGTTGCGTCAAATATGACTCACAGCAAACCTGTGAACAGCATCTGGACCCTGCCTCACCCTGAACCATCCTCACAATCTCTGACACACTTGACCCCTTTGCTGCAGCCACTGAGTCATCCAGTCTGGTTGAGGGTCTTCCTCTCTCTTGCTGACCCCCCCACCTTTCCAAGTACATTGCCCCCTTCCAAGGAAGAGTCCCTCCTAACAACATGCCCAAAGTATAGGAGACGGTCCTTGCCTCTCGGGAGCCGTACGGCTGCACTTTCCCCAAGACGTGTTACATGAACGTCCCAGTTCATAGCGACCGTCATGGCTCTGAAGCCGTAAATCTTTACAGAGAGAAATAGCACAGCTTTCTCCTGAGAAGAGGCTGGTGGATTCGAACCCATGACCTTTCTGTTGGCAGCACAATGTATTAAGGACTACACCACCGGGGTTCTGCTGCAGAGGGGCTTTAAAGACTGTCTAATGTATCCCTTTTTAGCTCAGTTTCTTGATTTTCCATCCTTAAAAACTAAAGGCAAAATGCAGACTTTGCCACAACACTCATTTTGTCCAAGTGCAGAAAATACCCCGGAATTCCAAAATGCTTGTGCTTATAAAACAGTATCCATGAAAAAATGAGAGTGCCGCACGCTGGCGCAGGTCCCTTCTCGTGTGGCAATTTCTTCACTGACAAAACCCTGTTCCTTTTCTCCCTGCAGGTCTTCTGAAGCTGGAACTTTCCTCAGCTCCAGATATGCTTGGCTGCTGTCTGACGCCTGAAATGCTACCAGTCAGGCCATTTTCTGAGACTCGGACACGTCCACACAAGGAGATCCTGGAATTCCCCATCCGGGAAGTGTACGCCCCACACACAGTGTACAGGTGAGGCGTACAGGTGACGCACGAAGCCCACGGCCCTCGTTTTGTTTGAATAATGCTTCTGTGGTCCCTCGGCCTGTCTCCCCACTTCCTGAATGCTCCTAAGTTTCCCAAAGGAAACATGCTGGCCTCATGATAATTGATAGATCTCGTTCTCAGAGCAACTTTCTATTAGACTTTATCAAAGGGACTGTTCCTTTAGTCATAGTCATAATGTAAGACCATAGTGGATGTAATCTTTCTGGACATGAAAAATATCCCCTAGTGGGTGAAGGAGTCGCACTGCCAGCACAAAGGTGTGAGGTCTGAACGCACCAGCCGCCCAGTGGAGGAAGACGGGCAGGGTCCTCACGTGTGATCACAGCCCCCGAAAACCCACCGAGTCTGCTGGGGTGGTCCCGACTCCAGAGCGTACAACAACAACAACAGTCATTACTTTTAATTTTTTTGTATGCGCAGAAGGACATAATAGACAAAGAAAAATGGGACCAAAATGTTCTCATTCCTTCAAAGATAAGCACTTCTCTCCAGAACATCTTGGTCTCTTAGAATTTCCTGCAGCTACCATCTACACGTAGACTCTGAAGAGACTGTGGGTTGGGTCCAGAACACAGTGATAGAATGAGAATGGCCATAAAGCAGACCGGGTGAACTGCTTTTATTTCCCAGGACATGGAAGCTACAGTTACCCTGTGAGATAGCCTGTTAGGAGCCCTGGGGGTACAGTGTGTGATGCGTTAGGCTGCTAACAGACAGGGCGTCAGTTTGAATCCACAGCCCTCCCAGGGAGAAAGATGGGTCCTCCTGTAAAGCCTGACAGTCTTGGGGACCCAATGGGGGGTCGCTCTGATCGTAGTCTGCTTGATGGTAGTGCATTTGTTGGGATTTTAATATGATCTGAAAAATGCAGGACCAAACCCCAAAGCAACCCCACTGGGCTGCTGAGATGGTCCCTCTCTCAGATTAGAACCGCTGAGCTTTCCTAACGTGTGACATAGTGTGAGAATGATTGAAACGTCACACAGAGACATGAGCTGAGCACACGCTGCGGGTAAAGTGGCCCTGATAGAGCTGCCCAGCGTGGGTTGCCACAAACCTTCAGTTTGTAAATAATAAAAGGTGTGTGATCAGTTTCTTGATAAAATGGCAGGTAGTGGAGTGAGGCCAGCTGTCCATCCACCACGCGCTCTCATTGCCATGGAGTCACAATCCCCTCCTAGCTGATCCTCCAGTGGTTTTCACAGGCTGCACATCACGGGAGGAGATTGCCCATTTTTCTTCTTTGGAGCTTCTGGTAGATTCGAAGTGCATCCCTTTGGGTTGGCAGCACAACTCCCTATTTACTAAGCCAAGTATAAGAGCCGCCTGTGGCCGTTTAACATGTAAAATGTCACCAGCGCAATGGAGGAACTTTTTCATTTAGGTTCTTTTCACTTAATTCACATTCAAGTCCCTGCATGTGGCCAGTGGCTACCTCATGGAACAGCATAGAACAACCTCAGAGACCTTGAAAGCCTGGGCTGCTGAGAGGCTCAGTGCCCCCTCAAGTGCCACCTTTCCCTGGGCACCAGGCTGGCTGTCTCCTTGTATACATGTCTCAAAGTTTCCCCAAGATCTGTTCCCCAACGGTAAATTATTGAGTTACAAATAATGTGCATTTCCAGTTTTCTTTATACGCCTATCTTTTCTTCACATTGTCCCGTTATGCAACCCTCCTAGCGGCGCAGGAGAGCCCCCAATTCCTGATCCTCACCCACTGTTCCAGTGTGACCCTATAGGATTGACACACAAGGAAACCCTGAGCTCTCCCAGTCCAAACTCCCCCCACCCCCACGTCACCAAGAACCACAGCTGAGACCCCGAGGGAAGAGGGTGGTTAGCCAGTTATTGCCACGTCCTTCCAGCTCATGTTCAGAGCAGGCGTGCCAAAGGGTTTGCAGGGGCTGATTTTTCCAACGTCTATTGCCAGGCCTTTCTTCCCTGCTGCCTCTGGATGGATTAGAACCACCAGCCTTTTTGGTTAGCAGCCAAGCACTAAACTATCTGCACCACCCAGAGACTGTTAAGTGGGTAGCTCACCAAGGTGAGAAGTACCACCAACCACTCATCATGAGAGATGGAGAAGCAATAGAAACTGCCAGTGATTTCATCTGGCATGGATCCACGATCAATGCCCTTGGCACCAGCAACCAGGAAATCAAAAGACAACATAATGCACTGGGAAAGTCTGCTCTCAGGGACCTCTTCGAAGTGCTAGAGAGCAATGATGTCAGTTTGAAGACTAAGGTGCACCTGTTCCAAACTATAACCTTTTCAGTTACTTGCTGAGCTGAAAGTTGGGCACTGACTAAGGATGACAGAAGAAGAGTCTATGCCTTTGAGCTGTGGTGCTGGAGACGAGTGCTGAGCATCCCCCAGGTTTCCAAAAGGACAAATATGTCTTGGGAAAGGTGCAGCGAGGAGAGTGAAACTGTCTCGCACACTTTGGGCGTGTTGTTAGGAGTCCTTGGAGAAGGACGTCATGCTTGGACAGGTAGAGGATCAGCGAAGGAGGGGAAGACTCAGATGAGATGGATTGACCCAGCGACAGTCATGACAGGCTCAGAGGTGGTCAGGACAGCACAGCGCAGGGCGGGGCCCACATCCACGGTTCAGAGGGTCATGATGAGTGTAGTCGACCTAAGGGCACCTGACAATGATAACAATCCAACATTTACAAATGTGACTTGCCTTCAAGACTGAAAAGTTGCACTCATTCCCTAGCCCCAACTTCATCCTTCCTGGTCTAGTTACCCATGTTGCTTGAACTTCAGTCAGACCCCCTTGAAGATGAGACTTCCTGCCAGCATCACCGGCACGCACTAGGCTCCCATTCCCAGAGGGACACCAAGGCAGGACAGTGTTTGCTAAGGGATGCTGTGCCCCGTATCGTCTTAGAAACCTTCTGTAACTGGAGCGAATGCCCCTACATTGGAGTAACCTGGCACTGAAAGAAACCTACAGTTATTCAGCTCTGCCTCAGCATTTCATCATCTGGGAGGCGTTTATGACTCTCCACTCCCCGCTGCAGACATTATCTCTTAATTACATCACAGCAGAGCTGGGAGTGCACCAGTGTGTGCAAGATGATTCAGAAATGTGGGCGTGAGGAGGAGGACGAGTCGGAACGGATGGCTGTGGGCCCCGCTTGGCATCTTCAGAAACAGATGCAGAAAGAGTATTTTTTTGGTTTTCCTTGTAACCCATAGAAACGCCAAGACCACACACTGGGTAATGGAAGAGAACCGTGCCATCCAGCTCGGGCCCCTTCCCTTCTCTTGGCCCCCACGTCTCCTCACCTTTTGTATTTTTTTAAAATATAAATAGTTTTCTTTTTATGTTGTTATTTTCATGAGAAATAGACACTGGAACAAATGACAGTTCACAATGGCACCTGACAATGTAGAAGCAAAATGCACAAAAGCAGACAGTTTCAGCTAAACCATTGTTTCATTTAAAAAGACAAACTAAACGTTAGGGGATATTTTTGGCTTATGATCTAAAGATCATCTCAGGGCAACAGGGTTAAGGGTTGATCCAGCTTCCTTTGCTCCAGGAAGTCTGGATTCTATGAATATTTGAAATTCAGCATTCTCTTCCCTTCTTTGGCCAGGATACTTTACTAGAATCTCAGTTCAATTTTAAGCCTTGTTTAAGGAAACAGTGACAGTGAACTTGAACTAGAATTTTACTATGTGAGAGCTACAAGGACTCAGGGAGCATCTGGGTTTAAGTCCCTCCTGCTGGTGGTCAGTGTCCTTCATGTTTATAGTGGTTTTAATCAGACTGATGTTGACAGATTTCAGTCTTAGACTAACTCTCCCCTCTCCCACAGCCTCACTGCTCTCTCCTAAGATGGAAATGTGAAGAATCAAGTCAGGTCTAAAGCCCGGATAAGATTATTACTGCTTTATAGTTGTTAGGAGTAGATTAGCAATGGGTGTGGATTAGCAGTGACTGACTGGATTATCAGTGGCTGTGGCGTTTGCCACACGGTGCCAGTCGATCATTGTGCCACTAGAGGGCAGAGCTTGCTCACTTTCTGGGCCCCGCACGGTGGTCCGTGCCACAGGGCAGCGGGGAGTCAAGGTGTAGCAAAGTGAAACATGCATTTTACGTTTGGCCCTTGACACGTCGGATGAGAAAAACTGAAAAATACTCCAGTTCACAAGCGTTCTCTCATGCTGTTGTTTGCAAAGGACTTTATTCTAACCTGTTTGCCTCAGTCTGCCTTCACTAGTGAGTGTTGATTTTGAAAATTAGACATGCTTTTAGGAAAATGCAGTGGAGAGGGAAGGGGTCCTGGTGGTGCAGTGGGCTGAGTGTTGTGTTGCTAACTGGAAGGTCAGAGCTTCAAACAGTCCAGCAGTTTTACCAAAACCTGTCCTGCAGGGTCGCTGTGAGTCAGATCTGACACACTGGACTTTTATTTCCATGTTGTTATGAGGTGCCGTGGAGTTGACTATGACTCAAGACGAGCCTGTGATTGGCACCCTGTTCTGTCCTGCACCATCCTCATCACGGACATACTTGAGCCCCTTGCTGTGGTCACTGCATCAGTCCATCTGGTTGGAGGTCTTTCTCTCTTTGGATGATCCTCCACTCTTCCAAGTATGATGCTCCTCTCCAAGGAATAGCCCCTCCTAGCAATACACCCCAAGAATGTGAGATGAAGCTTTGTCATCTTTGTTTCCAAGGAGAACTCTGGCTGCACCTACTCCAAGACATGTCTGTTTATTCTTTTGACAGTCCATGGAATAGTCAATTCTCTTATTCAACACCACAGCGCAAAGGCATCAGATCTTCTGTCATCCTTAATCACTGCCCAGCTCTCAGATGTATAGCTTGGGATTGAAAAGACCATGTCCTGAATCAGGTGTACCTTAGTCTTTAAACTGATGTCATTGCTCTTCAATAATTTGGAGAGGTCCCTGACTGCAGGCTTTCCCAGTGCAATACATCTC